TATGAAATAGAAACCAGAAGAACAGTAGAACAGATCAACGAAACTAGGAGCTGGTTCTTTGAAAGAATTAACAAGATTGATAAACCCCTGGCCAGACTTATCAAAAAGAAAAGAGAAAGGCCCCAAATCAACAAAATCATGAATGAAAGAGGAGAGATCACAACCAACACCAAAGAAATACAAACAATTATAAGAACATATTATGAGCAACTCTATGCCAGCAAATTAGATAACCTGGAAGAAATGGATGCATTCCTAGAGATGTATCAACTACCAAAACTGAACCAGCAAGAAATAGAAAACCTGAACAGACCTATAACCGCTAAGGAAATTGAAGCAGTCATCAAAAATCTCCCAACAAACAAAAGCCCAGGGCCAGATGGCTTCCCAGGGGAATTCTACCAAACATTTAAAGATGAATTAATACTTATGCTCTTGAAACTGTTCCAAAAAATAGAAATGGAAGGAAAACTTCCAAACTCATTTTATGAGGTCACCATTACCTTGATCTCAAAACCAGACAAAGACCCCATCAAAAAGGAGAATTACAGACCAATATCCTTGATGAACATGGATGCAACAATTCTCACCAAAATACTAGCCAATAGGATCCAACAGTACATTAAAAGGATTATTCACCACGACCAAGTGGGATTTATCCCTGGGCTGCAAGGTTGGTTCAACACCCACAAATCAAACAACGTGATACAATACATTAACAAAAGAAAGAACAAGAATCATAGGATCCTCTCAATAGATGCAGAAAAAGCATTTGACAAAGTACAGCATCCTTTCTTGATCAAAACTCTTCAGAGTATAAGGATAGAGGGTACATACCTCAATATCATAAAAGCCATCTATGAAAAACCTACAGCGAATATCATTCTCAATGGGGAAAAGCTGAGTGCTTTTCCCCTAAGGGCAGGAACGCGGCAGGGATGTCCACTATCACCACTGCTATTTAACATAGTATTAGAAGTCCTAGCCACAACAATCAGACAACAAAAAGAAATCAAAGGCATCCAAATCGGCAAAGAGGAAGTCAAACACTCACTCTTTGCAGATGATATGATACCGTATGTGGAAAACCCAAAAGACTTCACCCCCAAACTGCTAGAACTCATACAGGAATTCAGTAAAGTAGCAGGATATAAAATCAATGCACAGAAATCAGTGGCATTCCTATACACCAACAACAAGACAGAAGAGAGACAAATCAAAGAGTGGATCCCATTTACAATTGCACCCAAAACCATAAGATACCTAGGAATAAATTTAACCAAAGAGGCAAAGGATCTGTACTCAGAAAACTATAGAATACTCCTGAAAGAAATTGAAGAAGACACAAAGAAATGGAAAAATGTTCCATGCTCATGGACTGGAAGAGCAAACATTGTGAAGATGTCAATGCTACCTAGAGCAATCTACACATTCAATGCAATCCCCCTCAAAATACCATCCACTTTTTTCAAAGAAATGGAACAAATAATCCTAAAATGTGTATGGAACCAGAAGAGACCCCGAATAGCCAGAGGAATATTGAAAAAGAAAAGCAAAGCTGGCAGCATCACAATTCTGGACTTCAAATTCTACTACAAAGCTGTCATCATCAAGACAGTATGGTACTGGCACAAAAACAGACACATAGATCAATGGAACAGAATTGGGACCCCAGAAATGGACCCTCAACTCTATGGTCAACTAATCTTCGACAAAGCAGGAAAGAATGTCCAATGGCAAAAAGACAGTCTCTTCAACAAATGGTGTTGGGAAAATTGGACAGCCACATGCAGAAGAATGCAACTGGACCATTTCCTTACACCACACACAAAAATAGACTCCAAATGGTTGAAGGACCTAAACGTGAGACAGGAATCCATCAAAATCCTAAAGAAGAACACAGGTAGCAACCTCTTTGACCTCAGCCACAGCAACTTCTTCCTAGAAACATTGCCAAAGGCAAGGGAAGCCAGGGCAAAAATGAACTATTGGGATTTCATCAAGATAAAAAGCTTTTCCACAGCCAAAGAAACAGTTCACAAAACCAAAAGACAACCAACAGAATGGGAGAAAATATTTGCAAACGACATATCATATAAAGGGCTAGTATCCAAAATCTATGAAGAACTTCTCAAACTCAACACCCAAAGAACAAATAATCCAATCAAGAAATGGGCAGAAGACATGAACAGACATTTTTGCAAAGAAGACATCCAAATGGCCAACAGACACATTAAAAAGTGCTCAACATCGCTTGGCATCAGGGAAATCCAAATCAAAACCTCAATGAGATATCACCTCACACCAGCCAGAATGACTAAAATTAACAAGTCAGGAAACGACACATGTTGGCGGGGATGCGGAGAAAGGGGAACCCTCCTACACTGTTGGTGGGAAGGCAAGCTGGTGCAACCACTCTGGAAAACAGTATGGAGGTTCCTCAAACAGTTGAAAATAGAGCTACCATACGATCCAGCAATTGCACTACTGGGTATTTACCCCAAAGATACAAATGTAGGGATCCGAAGGGATACGTGCACCCCAATGTTTATAGCAGCAATGTCCACAATAGCCAAACTGTGGAAAGAGCCAAGATGTCCATTGACAGATGAATGGATAAAGAAGATGTAGTATATATACACAATGGAATATTATGCAGCCATCAAAAGGAGTGAGATCTTGCCATTTGCAACGACATGGGTGGAACTGGAGGGTGTTATGCTGAGCAAAATAAGTCAATCAGAGAAAGACATGTATCATATGACCTCACTGATATGAGGAATTCTTAATCTCAGAAAACACACTGAGGGTTGCTGGAGTGGTGGGGGGTGGGAGGGATGGGGTGGCTGGGTGATAGACATTGGGGAGGGTATGTGCTATGGTGAGCACTGTGAATTGTACAAGACTGTTGAATCATAGATCTGTACTTCTGAAACAAATAATGCAATATATGTTAAGAAAAAAAAAGAAGATAGCAAGAGGTGAAGAATGAAGGGGAGTAAGTCGGAGGGGGAGACGAACCATGAGAGACGATGGACTCTGAAAAACAAACTGAGGGTTCTAGAGGGAAGGGGGGTGAGGGGATAGGTTAGCCTGGTGATGGGTATTAAAAAGGGCACATTCTGCGTGGAGCACTGGGTGTTATGCACAAACAATGAATCATGGAACGCTACATCAAAAACTAATGATGTAATGTATGGTGATTAACAAAACAATAAAAAATTTTTAAAAAATAAAAAATAAATGCAGCAACATCTCACAGTTCAGGGGTAGAGTGAGAAGTCAGGAAGAGTTCACACACCCAAGCAGCTAGAACATGGTGAAAATAGAAGCAGCTAAGGTAGAGGCTTCAACTGTTCTGCACACAAAGCACAATAAGTGCTTGCAACCTAGACCGTTTGCGGTTGCCCCGTCTCTACCTTAGCTGCAGCCCTACAGAGCTGCTGCCCCACACTCTGGACTTGCAGCTGAGCTTGACTCAAGTCAAGAGATCTGTTGGAAAGAAAACAATAGGGGAAAATGTACAAATGTTAACATCTTAAGGTGAGTGGATAAAATATCCATTTCCTATTTTACCTCCTCACCATGTCCACCTCTCCCAATCAACAGAGTCACTTTAGAAGTGCCTGCCAGTGTCAAATTGTTTTCCCATTTCCTGTGAATCAGAGAATCTAGAGCACAAAAAGTTAGAAAGTTCACATTCTCCATTCCTGTCTTTGGCAATAAGCACATTGAATTCTTCCCAAACTGTGTGGAACTGCTCACTTAAAGACTTCCAGGAAAAACCTTACTGTCAGAAAGTGCATCCTGGTATTTTACCCAACCCTCCATGCTTCAGTTTAAACTCCCACGTTCTGTCCTCAAAGAAGGTGAAGGTGTGTGGCCTCCTTCTCTGTTGAGGGCTCGTTAAGTAGTTTCCAGATTCTATCTGTTAAAAGTGATGCTGCTATGAACATTCTTGTATATGTCTTTGGTGTCAGTATAAATGTATTTCTGCTCGGTGTGTACCTAGGAGTGAAAATGCTGGGTCATCCGGTATCTTTATGATTCATTTAGATTTTGTCATGCAGTTTTCCAAAGTGGTTGTACCAATTTACACTCCCACTGGAGGTTTACAAGATTTCTATCTGCTTTACATCCTCACCAGCACTTGCCTGTCTTCCTTGATAGTTTTAGTCATTCTCGTGGGGGAGGTAGTGGAGTTCCATTTAGTTTAAATTTGCATTTCCACAGGGATTTATGAAGTCAAGCTTCTTTTTCTATGTTCATTTGGCACTTGGATATCTGCTTTTGTAAATTACCTATTGAATTATTTTGCCCATTTTTCCAATAGGTTGTCTGTCTTTTTCGTACTGACTTCTAGAAAGTCTTATATTCTGCATATGGGTCCTTTCTCAGCCATGTGTATGGAAACTATCTTGTCACCCTGTGGCTTACCTGTTTACTCTCTTACTGGTGCATTTTAAGGAACAGTTTTCAAAATAATAACCTGACAGTCTTAAAACCTCAGATTCAGAACTTCCAGCCCATTCTACTCTGACCTCATCAATCCCTGAGTGCCTCCTGAGCTGATGGTCCTATGGACCATTTTCAGGATTCCACTTTTCCACCTCATTGCAGTGTACAGACACATTTCTCCTTGGATAGGAGGCAAATTTGGAGAATTGGAGGTCACTCAGGGTAGGGGATGGATGATCTTAGTGTTTGCAGAACTGTGCTGCCTTTCAAGCTAAATGATGCTGAAATCACACAAATTCTGGCAGCCTCTGTATCTTTCCATAGCCTTGTCCCATCTTGGTTCATTAGCATGAGATTTTCGAAGCCACGGAGAATGTTCAAAAGTGCTTACTAGTAAATTACTTGACTCCTTCGGGCATCATGGTGAAGAAAGTTCACCTATATAATACCCCTTCCACCAAAGAGGAAATACTAATTTGAACTTCTAAAGTTTCTTCCCCACTTCCTCTATTTAGTGTATGAGGCAGCAACACCACCCACATCATAGGGGTCACTCACTCGCACCTGGGCCTGTGGCTTAGATGCTCTTCCCTCCACCCAGACTTTGCATCTGCCTTTATCTGGACCTATGTCCCTCCTCTGTGCCAGGCCAGGCCCCATGTTGCTCTGCAGGATTGTGCTGTTCTTCGGTAAGTCACCAAGCGTGAGCTTTCCCTCTTGGGCACCAAAGACTGTAAGTCATTTATGGGACTTCTCATTTTACCTCTCTGGATTCAAGTGGGTTTTATGGCTGGAGCTTGAAATGAGTGTGTGCACATGGGTGTGCTTGACAGAGATGTGGTGTGGTGGGGGGCCTCCCTGATGTTTCCTATCCCATTTTCCTTGGTCCTTGGAAGGGCAGGCTTTCAATATCAGAGCTAAATTAGGGAGGCAGAAAATCACATTGTGAGGCCCAATGACATGTTTACCCTGTCAAATAAGATGAAATTACTCATCAGGCTGTCTCAAAAGGAAAATGAAGTTATAGAAGGAAAGAAGGCTTTGGGTAGGGGGTGGACTGGAGGGATCAGGGAAATGGAAAAAGGCAGTTCTGTGCATTTTGTTCAACAATAGGAAATGGGCTTTTACAAAAAGATACCTTGTCATGAAGCCTCAGTGTTTTCTTAGAAGCAGTCAACCATGACCAGGCTTCTCATCTGGTCAAGGGGCTTTGCTCTGAGTGTCCAAAGCCCTTTACAAACTGGCCATCCCCCTTCTGCCTATGTCCTTTCTCTGTCGGGGATGAGGAGGGTCTGTTTTGGGTCTGACTGGTCCTTGGGGAAGGTCTGAAGGATCAAATCCATTCTCCCTGATCTATATCTCTCTCCTTGACCCACCTCCCCAGGGACCAGTCACCCATGCCAGCGATGGAAAGCCTGCTCCTCCAATAGTAGAGAATTATGGGAGTGGGGAGAGGGTCACTAGGCCCCCCAGACTCAACTCAGTCTCAGCCACTATTACCTTCTACACTTAGAAGAAACAAGTCTGGGCAGAGCCACACTTGATGCTTGGGGACCCCAGAAAACCAGCCTAAGATGCTGGAACCCAGGGCTATATGTGGAGAAACAGAGTTACCCTAAGTGCAGAGTTGCTATTTCCTCTTAGATGTGGGCAGAGACAAAGAAACAAGCACTGAAGTCCTGCTTTGTAGTGCGTAATGTATCTCATCTAACCTTTAGAATCATAGGGCAAGTATTTTTCTATCCCTATTAAACAATTGAGGATACTGAGGTTCAAAAAGTTTATGAAACTTGCATAGAATTACCCTGCTAGCAAGAGTAAAACAGAGATGCAAACCCAAGTCCATTGGTGCTTTCTCCATCCCACCGTGATACCTCCAGCAGGGCTGTGGTTGAGGTTCTAATCAAGTAAGACCGGAAAATAAAATTCATTTCAAGTTCCTGGTGGGGTATGTTCACACAACAAATGGTGCCTATTACTATTATTGACTATCAGAGATTCAAGAGGCCAGGGGCCCTGACGCTGAGCGTGCTGGTACACGGCTATACACTAAAGGTGTATTTGAAGTTTAGGAGATGAACCTTAATTTTCTTCTGAGCTGAGCATTAGCTAAGTTCAGTGCCAAGACTGGAACCCACCCTGTGTAGACACACACACATCTATGACAAGTATCTCAGAGCTCCCACAACACCACCACTCCCTAGCACCATGGAAGGTACAGCTTGGCAAAGCAGCATGCTCCAACGTGCTAGAGCTCAGTTATGAGCTAGTCCTTCGTGCTTTGCTGAAACCTGCCTCCCTGGTCTCTCTCATTCCCATGAAATAGTCCCACTTCTGCCTGAAGTCTCTCCCCCTCTTTTAAGCTCCACCCATTGAATATTAGAAGACCACTGTGTCCCTACTCTGCTGTGTCTTTCTCAGATAAGTATCCCCCGACCCCTCCAGTGGGGAATGGTTTCTCCACCCTGTTCATCATCCTGGTCTGCTTGGTCTCAATGCACCTGGTCAGTCAGCCAGGAGCTGGGCCTTCCCCTCCTCCCCACCATGGCCTGACTAGCACCAAGATCGACCGGGCTGCCGTCTCCATTGTCCGGGACTCTGTTTTGTGGCTTATGCAATGGCTGTGTCACCACTTCATCTTCAGCCTGTAGCAAACTGGGGTCCACAGTCCCCTTTGTAGGAAGGGCTGTAATGCAGCCCCCGCCCCACTGCGCTGCCCGCGGCCAGCTAGCTTCATCACAGACACTGGCTCTGCTGGCACAGCTCCCAGGTGTCACAGCTGGACAGCAGGTCATCGGGGCCTGGGGACACGAGCTCATCTGAAGTGTCCCTCTGCTCTCTGGATGCCTTCTCTCTTGTAGGCTTCTGTGCTCTCAGCCCTGTTTACTCACCACTTTGAAGCTGCAGAGGTGTTTTTCCGGTAAACAGGGGAAAGAAGAGGGGCATCACTACATTGCAAGGTTTTAGTCACCCTGAGGTCAGGCCTTCTTTCTGCTTGCAGTGAATGCAGTCACCACGTTTCCAGGGAGTGGGTCACTATACGCAACCGCTCGGTAAGGAAGAAATGACTGTCACACTTCTTATTGTATAGGCAGAATCAGGAATTGAAGGCTATTGGGATCCAAACAGTGTATCCAAGTTCACACAGAAAGAGATGGATTCATGAGTCAAGGTCAGGTCATGTGATTCCAAATCCTACATGCTTCCCACTACACCAAGCTCAGAGGAAAAGATGTATTTAAGATGGGGCCGGGGGGAGATGGAGGGATGGCAAGAAAGACTCATCATTCTGCACACACTGAAAGCCTGTAGTTGAGCTAGCCCAAGCTGAGCAGAGAAGTGAAGCTGAAAGCCTCTGTCTGGGTCCCAGGCCATGTGGACAACAAGGGTGACAGCATGTGAATCAACAAGCCAAACGGCCGCATCTCAAGCCCCTGGTGAGAGGGTCTTCCCCCACCCCTCCCAAGGCCACTCCCACATTTCTCCGTCTCTGCACAGCCCCTAGGACGGGTCAGTGTGAAGGACACAGTAGGGCCTGAGGACAGCTGGCCCAACTGTGTTCGGCCCTATGACACTCATTGCTTCACCCCTTGTCCCAAAGTCTAGAACACTCTCCACCATTTCATGTCCGGCTGTGCCCCTCCATCCCTTGGGCTACTCACACTTTTAACCTCATCTATCATCATATCGTGGCCTGGCCTCTCTTCCCAGGCCACTTTGCTCCTCTAACGTTCATTCATTTAAAAGCATTAGGGGCAGGCACCTGGGTGGCTCAGTTGGTTAAGCGTCTGCCTTCAGCTCAGGTCGTGATCCCGGGGTCCTGGGATCGAGCCCTGCATCGGGCTCCCTGCTCAGCAGGGAGTCTGCTTCTCCCTCTGACCCTCCCCCGTCTCGTGCTCTCTCTCTCTCTTTCTCATTCTCTCTCTCTCTCAAATAAATAAATAAAATATTTTTAAAAATTAAAAAATTTAAAAAAAGCATTCAGGACACCTGGCTGGCTTAGTCAGGGGAGCATGTGACTCTCGACCTCACAGTCATGAGTTCAGGTCCCACACTGGGCATGAAGTCTACTTAAAATTTTTATTTTTAATTAAATAAAAATAAAAATTCTGCTCTGAGCCAACGTGGCTCAGTCAGTAGAGCATGCGGACTCTTGATCTCAGGGTCATGAGTTCGAACCCCATTTAAGTGTAGAGCTTACTTAAATTAAAAAAAAAAAGCAATAAAGCAAAAAGCATGATTAGGTCAATTACATAAAAATATTTTGGGGCACCTGGCTGGCTCGGTCAGTAGAACATGTGACTCTTGATCTCGGGGTTGTGAGTTCAAGCCCCACGTTAGTGTATAGAGATTACTTAAAAATAAAATCTTAAAAAAAAATAATAAAAAGATAGATAGATAATAGATGATAGATAGATGATAGATGATAGATAGATAGATAGATAGATAGATAGATAGATAGATAGATAGAAGCATCAGGGGCACATATAAAGGTATGCAAACAGTGTGATGCACTGGCCTGTTTGTCATTCCCTCACTGATCGAGATGGCAGGCCAGGTCCCTCAGCCTTTAGTGATTCCTCACCTCCTTCATCGGTCACTTCCATGCTGGACCCTCCAGAGCTCTGTAGACAGATTGGGCCGCCGGACTGCATGGTCTGCCTTTGCTCTCTGAGTTCTGCAGGTGCAGATAGGAGCTCGGACCTACCCGTGCAAGGGTCCACTCTTCTGGATCCTGCTTCATGTGCCCTGCCTGCCCCACATGGCTGGGCACAAAGGAAAGCCTGCAAGTGTTTATTCAACAGAGGCTTGTTGAACACAGACTATTCCTGGCACAGATCCTAGGCATAGGTGACGTGACTGTGAACAAAACAAGCAGAGTCCCTGCTCTCGCAGAGCTTACATTCTACACAGAGGGAGACAGGCGATAACAAGTAGGCAATTTAAAGAATAACTTCAAATAGAGACAAGTGTTCTGATGACAATACAGTGGGGTGTTGTTAATAGTGATTGAGGAGAATTCTTTCAACTGGGGGTCCCAGAAAGACCTAAGGGTGTGACATTTGAACTGAGATAGGACAGAGTATTCTAGGCAGTGGGTCCAACATAAAAGCTGAGTGGCTGGAGATGCTGAGGGCCTGGGGGGGCTGGGGAACTGAGGGGCTGAGTGGCTGGGGGCTGAGGGGCTGGGGGCTGGGCATTTGGGTAGCTGGATGGTTGAGTGGCTGAGTAGCTTGGTGGCTTGGTGGTTGGGTGGCTAGGTGGCTGACTGGCTGGGGGGCTGGGCGGCTGGCAATTGGGGGGCTGAAGGGCTGAGTAGCTAGGGGGCTGGGGGCTGAGTGGCTGAGTAGCTTGGTGGCTGGGGAGCTGGGTGGTTAGGTAGCTGGCTGAGTAGCTCAGTGGCTGGGAGGCTGTGTGGTTGGTGGCTGGATGGTTGACTGGCTGAGTAGCTTGGTGAATGGGGGCTGGATGGCTAGGTGGCTGGTTGAGTAGCTCGGTGGCTGGGTGGCTGGGTGGTTGGGTAGCTGGGTGGTTATGTGGCTGGGTAGTTGGGTGGCTGAGTGGCTGGGGGGCTGGATGAGTAGGTGCCCAGGGGGTTGGGTGGTTGGTTTATTGAATGGGTATGAGCACCCATTCCTGAGATGACAGGCCTCCTTGTGAAGGAGGCTTTCTGCTCCTTACCCTAATTCTATCACTCTGTTCTCTTACAGTTCCCTGTGTTGGGCAAAGTGGTGAGTCTCTTTTATGTCTTTTCCAATTCCAAATATGTCTCTGGGCCAAAGATTGATTGATGGGCCATTGGGTCCCCTGGAAACATCTTCAGAGCCGCAGACTAGGCCCATTCCTCAGGAGTCCTGGCTGATGCCCAGGCAGAAATGAGACCTGGGACCCCACTGGGCTCAGGCTGAGGATAATTCTAGGTGATTCAAGTCCCAGCAAATGGCTCTGGGTCTCATCTTATTCCCTTATAGCTGGCACTGGCCTTTGTCTCCTCCTCTCAGAGTGTCTCTGAAGCTCCTATATCCCCCACTGACCAAGGCCCTGGACTCCCTCCCGTTCCCTGTATGTTCAGAGAAGGCAGCTTTGTCCCTCCACTACCTCTGCCTTCCGGTCCATCCTGACCTGCATGGGGCTTTCTGTCCAGTAGGAAAAATGCTGGCCTATGAACATCTTGACCGCCAAGGACATGTTCTATGGTGCCAGCGTGGGATGAGGGGGTGCTGGACAGAATTCAAACCCACGTGGGCTCCATGCTGCTAGAAAGAGCAGCAGCAAAAGCAAGGCTCAACATTCAGTTCTGTGTGAGCCTGCAGGGGTGGGGGCGGGTCCTAAGGATCCAGAGAGACCCAGGCAAAGGCAGGCTATGCTGGGGCTCCCCACCCATTCCTCCTCATTGCTCTCAGCTATCAGGCCTGGCTCCTGAGGCTGCCTGGGACCACTGGTGTCTGGCTTGTCAAAAAAGTACGGTCTGGGGACAGGCCCAGCCTGGGACTGCCCTGCAGATGGTGCTGGGCCCCCAGGAGCTCATCTCTTGTCCACGTCAGGCTGTAGACTGCATTTTAGGAATGAGGACAGACAGAATGCATTTTAAGAATGAGGACAGACAGGACAGATCCCTCCCCAGGACAGTGGTGGAAATGAAAGTCCCTGCAGGGGGGTGGGAATGGGGGCCGGGCTGGGAGAAGGTTGACAAGGAAAGCAGAAGGAGCAAGCCCGGGGGTGGGGGGACACTCCCCACACCCACCCCCGGCTTCTGGCTGGTAGGCCGTGTGCAGTTGTCCTCAGAGGTGGAAGCAGCACAGAGTTGCCCTGGGGGAACCGGGGTAAGTAGCCCGTCTGAGGGGTGAGAATTGGGTCAAGAGGAAGGAGGTAGAACAATGATGGAAGGAATTCAGCTCGACCCAAGCTTGGAGATGTTGGAAGGGCAGCTGGAAAGGAGCCAAGGAGGAGGTACAAGAGAAGAAGACCAGAGAGAAGGTGTGAGGAGAGCAGGGCAGGGGAGTGGAGTGGACTAGAGAGAAGAGGCAGGGGAGAGGAAGGAGGGGAAAGGAAAGCAGAGGACCAGCCCTGGTCTGGCACGAAGGCCTGGGGGACGGGGCGGCCACGCAGGTGCTGCCCAGGAGCCTCCATCCCCAGGGGAGGCCCGAGGCTGGAGGACGGAGGGAGAAAATGGGCTGATGGGACGTGCGGCTCCAGGATGACCCCGGTCTTGTGTCTCACAGGCTGGTTGTACCTCCGAACCTTGCCAGACCCCGTGTGTGAGGGCGACATCCTGATTCTGCAGTGCCAAGGATGGAAGAACACAGCCCTGTCCCAGGTCCAGTTCTACAAAGACAGGAAATTACTCCGCAACCCGAAGGCCAAATGGATTCTGCACATGGGGACAGCAACCCTGGAAAGCAGTGGCCAGTACAGCTGCACTGGGAAGGTGACCTTCACCCTGCACCTGGGCACACAAAGGTCAAAGATGACCATGGTTCAAGTCCAAGGTGAGTCACCAGCTTCGGGGGCGTCGGGGGGTTGTGGGGGCTAGGGTGCTGCTCAGGGATCTGGTCTCTAGAGGTCAGCAGCCCTCCCTCTGGCTGCCCCTGATGCCGGGCTGACCACAGAGCCCTGAGATGTCCACCATGCTGTCCAAATGCCCTGCCCCCGCGGGGTACATCTGGACCCCGGGGAAGGAGGGGTATGCCCTGGGCCACGGAAGCACCCTGAACCAGCCCAGCCACTCAGTCCCAGAGACCCTGGGCCAGACCCTTCCCTTCTGGGGACCAGATGCCCTACAAGGCCCTCTGGCTCTGGCTCAGGATACCCCGAGGGGCTGGGGTGTAGTCATGGGATGAGAGGTGGGTCCTGGGAGACAATGGCAGTGTCTGTCATGGGGCACGGGGCTGTGGCCTGGGATGTGCCCTAGCTTAGACCCCCGCCTCTGGGGACTCAGGGTTCGGGAGTTCCCCCTGAGCCTGGGCCTGTTCCTCCCCAGAGCTGTTCCCGCCTCCAGTGCTGAGTGCTGTCCCTTCTCCTGAACTCCGTGAGGGGAGCCCGCTAACCCTGAGATGCCAGACGGAGCTGCATCCCCAGAGGTCAGCCTCGAGGCTCCTCTTCTCCTTCCACAAAGATGGCCGCACCTTGCAGAACTGGGGCCCCCACTCAGAGCTCTGCCTCCCAGAAGCCCGGGAGGGAGCCTCTGGGCTTTACTGGTGCCAGGCCACCCCTGAGGGTAGCAGGGTCCAGAAACAGAGCCCCCATCTGGAGGTGAGGGTGCAAGGTAAGTGGGGAAGAAGGGAAGACACTCCCCAGGGATATGGGCTTCAGGTAATGGGACCCCTGGGCCTGTGGGGAGGGGTCCCCAGGGGAGGAGGGGCCAGGGGCCTGGGTGGTGTAGGTGAGCCTCCCGCCCCGTGTGCTGCCCCAGCTCCTGTGTCCCAGCCTCTGCTCACCCTGAGACCCAGGTCCACTGGCCTTGCTGTGGGGAACGTGGTGGAGCTCCTCTGTGAGACCCAGAATGGCTCCCCTCCAATCCTGTACTCATTCTACCTGGACGAGAAGATCCTGGGGAACCACTCTGTTCCCCATGGAGGAGCCGCCTCCTTCCCCTTCACTGTGATGTCAGAGCAGGATGCTGGTAGCTACTCCTGCCAGGCGGAGAACAATGTCTCCAAAGAGACAAGTGAGCCCAGGACACTGTCCCTGGATGGTATGTCTTGTCCCCCACCCAGGCTCTGAGCCTCAGCAAGCTGGCAGGGGTCAGGTCTCACCCCTCTGTGTACCCCCCACCCACACCCTGCACTGCATGAGTGAGATGGACCCTGCTTGGGGTATCTGCCCACTGAAACTGGAGGGAAAGCATGAGATCCATGGGGGGCAGGGGTATTGTACATGGTCATCAGTGGTGTTGCCCGTCCGTGCTGGTATCCTCTGGACCATCCCTCATTCCATCTACAAGGCTCCTTTAGGCCACACGGTTCCCCCTGATGCCAGCCATTCTGCCTCCTCTGTGCCCGTCTGGGGTACATTTCTGAATTTCATCCTCAATGCTCATGGTCACCCCTACTTCATCCCTTAGGTCTTTGGGGCTTGCCTACCCTCACCAGCAGCCCCTGGTTCGTTCCTTGTCTATCTGTGAGCCTGCTTGGTGTGCTGGTCATCGCCACTGCACTTGTGGCTTACTTCAGACCCTGGAGAAAAACTGGTCAGTGAACTTTTTGACTTTCTTAGTGGCCGAGTCCTTAAGCCAGGCACTGCCCAGCCTTTGGAGAGCCAGCATCTGAGGGGACCAGCTGCTCCTCTTTGGGGTCTGGGTGGGAGGAGGGACTTCTCTTTACATGTCACACAAAGGAGCCCATGGAGGGACACTTCCAGCTTCCAAAACACACACACACACACACACACACACACACACACACACGCACAGTCTCACATGCCCATAGTTGCCCAGAGATGCGCACAAACACATGACCGCACACTTGGGCTTAAACAGAAGCACAAACAGAGGAATTCTTACCAGCCAAACTCAATGCACATCAGAGTCCTTCGTGTTTGAAAGACAATCTGGCTGATGAATATGCCAAGAAAACCCCAAGCCACCCACACTCTGTCACACCAGAACTCTGCTAAGCAGAGGAGAAAGAAGGAATGGGAACCCCAGTGAGCATCTGCATGCTTATGAGCACACACCCATCTTGTCCAGTGCTGCGCCTGAGGGAGTGCTCAGTGGAGGTTCACTCATCAGAAAGGAAACATGGCGGAGACGACCCAGCAATGGCCTGCTCCCAACACTGTCTCCTAATTCTGTGACCTTGGGCCCGTTCACTCTAGAAGTCATCAAGTATCTCCCACTTGGGGTTATTGTGAGGGTTTCAGCTAAGGAGATGACATCTACCTGATACCTAAGTGTTGGGCTGGCATCTGCCGGGGTCTTGGTACAGTCTCCCTCTAGTCTATGGATTAGACAGGATTCCAGACCCTGCTCCTCTCCTGTCCGGTCATGACGATGAAGGAGGAACGGGGGCTCCCGCTGCAATCACCTTGGTGGCTCCCCACTTACTCCTGTTCTAACCCTTCTTCACCTCGGGCCACATTTAAGGGAAGGGCTTCCCATGCCAAAGCTTTTTGGTACCAGCTTATTCCGAGTCCTTCGAACCCACCTACAGAGACTCAAATCAACCCCACCTCCTCCCCCTGCCCCCGGGGGGAGAGGAACAAGAATAAGACATCATTATAAATATCATTCCTATTTTCCACTTGCCAAGGGAAAAAGTCATTGTTCTCGCAGACCACCGAAGCTAGGTTTTCTAATTCAAGTTGGCAGCTCCCTCTGTTAGAGACTTTGTGGTGAGTTTTTAGGGAGCTGGGCTGGACTACTCTGTGAGAAAGCCCACCCAGTCATGCAGTCAGCGTGTTCCTCCCTGAGCGCCTGCCTGGCCCCCTGAAAGGGCCTCTCCCCAGCCCTGGACCCACTCCCCTGCCTTACCAGCACCCCAGTTAGGGCTTGGGCCAGCCTCCAACTTCCTCTCCCTTTTTAGCAGTCTTTGTCCAACAAACCTTCCCTCTAGGCTCGAGTCGAGGTTCTGCGGAGGCTACCTTGCTTTAAATAACCTGTACGGTAGGAGAAAGATGGAGGCTGGTCCAGAGCTAGATGGGGAGGCAGCTGGAGTAGCAGACCAGCAACTGAAAATGTGTGACTTCTAGCATCCCTGCATCTACAATAAAGCCTCCTTCTAGTGGCCCAGCCATTTACCTGGCCCCAGTAACATAGGCCCCTCACTTCTGGGTCAGAGCATTAAAGACAAAGCAACACAGCACAGCTGTCTCCCTCTCAGCCCCAGACAAGATGGCAGGGGAGCAGTAACCAGTGAAGGATCCTCAAGAGGAAGAAGCCTCTCACAGGGAACGAAAGAACACCTCTCTTCATGTGGAGGCCCTGCTGCTGAGCAGCCCACACGCCCCCCACCCAACCCCCACTGCCAACCTGGGAACAGCTGGGCTCCATTGTATTAAGGAACCTGTCTCTCAGGAAAATAGGGCTCCTGGTGGCAGTCTTGGTTCTCTTATCTCAGAAACTCAGAGGTGCAAGACCTTGAGAATGTCACACAGGCCTAATTCCAAAACTTCACAAGAAAAACAGTAGATCAACAGCTTCGTTACTCACACCCAGCTCTGGAAGACTCTTAACCATCTCCAGATAGCATGTCCACTCCCTCAACAAACAAAAAACGTGCTACCACCAAAGATATTTGACAGCTGTATCTCTGAAGGCAATTTGCAAAACATTTTGGCCAACGATGATGTCACTAGCACCATATTAGTCACGCAAGGGGCCCACTTCCAAAGTAGCACTTGCCTAGGTGTGCCCACTGTGGTTTATTTAACAGTGTTCACACCCTGCATAAAACAGAGGTCCATCAAATTCCTGGAGCTCTTCAGTGAACGGAGACTCAAAAACACAGCCCTAACAAATGAGCACCAGGGGATATTTAATAACTGGGAGTTTCTTGGAGTCTCTGTAAATGCATTCTTGGTTTTACAGGAAGCACCATTTCCACCAATCCTGCCAGTGATTCTGGTGCCTTCTTGCTATCAATGATAATAAACATTTCTTGGGCACCAGGCATGAACCAAGTGTTCTAAAATCCATGTGACCCAATCCCTATCCTAGGAGATAAGTTTTAAAGTTCTGGGAGCACCTGCTTTCACAGAGGCAGCATGCTAGTGGAGAAAAAGCACATAAACCTGGATTAAGAGTCTGTCCCTACCACTTACCTTATGTGACCTTGGAGAAGTCCCCTCTCCCAGCCTCAGACACCTCATCTACATATGATACTATGGCATCATAGTATCAACCTTTGCAAGATGGTCACAAAGAATACCAGGCACCAAAGAGTTAGGAAGAGAGGTTTTTTTTTGCCATCCAGCTATGTGCTGGTCACTGGGTTAGGCACTGTGCTGTGAAGTAGACATTGTATTTGAATTCCCTGGCCCAGTGTCTGGCACATAGTGTGTGGCCAAAGTTACTAGCTTTTCCTTTTTCTGAAATGCAGCCTGACTGGTGAGTCTGGGCCCTCTCCATGCAGGAGTGTGACCCTTCCTTTCTGGCCCTGCTTCTCCTAGTTTATGATTCCCATGGGGCCATTCTACCCTCTAGGATATTTTTCAAAGGAAACATCCTGTAAAAATTAACCATGTCCAGACTTGTAAATTAGCCCTCATAAACAAACAAGCCTCAGACCTCCAGCAGCCTCCACTGACTTTCTTTCTCTCAGACTCTCTACCCCCACTGCCCAGCCTGCTCTCTGAAGAATGCCTTTGTATCTCCTAGGGCCCATTCCAACCCAGAATCTGCCCCCAGCCCCAGGTGGAGAGCAGCACCCACTGTATGGCAATGGTAAGGACTTGAAGCAGGACCATGCATGGCCTGTAGCTGAAGACCGAGAAAGGAGTCTGAGGGGGAATGAAGAGAAGGAAGCCCTGTGAGCCCCAAGTCTCGGGAACCAGTCATCGGGGAAGGAAGTAGATGGCTTCTGGGGAGAGTGTGAGGGACCAGTATTCTGAAGCTGGTGGAGGGGCAGGGAAGTAGGAGGGAAGGCCGGCCTCCAGAGGGAGGGTAAGAAGGGTTTAGACCAACGGTTGGCAAACTCTGGCCCATGGGCCAAATCTAGTCCACCAAGTACTTTTGTAAAGAACAATATATATGTATTGCGTATGGCTGTTTTTGCGCTACAGAGCTGAGACTGTATGGCTAGCAAAGCCTAAAATATTGACTCTTTTTTATAGAAGAAGTTTGCCAACGCCTAGTTTAAACAAAGTCAGGGCTGGTAAAGCTGCTAGAATCTGCTATGGGGGCAGGCAGCTTCCACCAAGATGGATATTCCACAGTAATGACTGCCTCCCACTCCCAGTTACCACCATGACAGGGCCCCTGACTGGCTTCCCTCCAGAGGTGTCTTCAGGACACTGATGTCTTGAGGTGGGAGAGCAGGTGGGTCCTATTCAAGCCTCATTTCTTTTTTCAGTCACTTGGCCGAATGAGAATGAGGAAGATGATATTTACTCTTCAATGATTATAGTCCCAAAGAAGAGTGAAGGTGAGTGATCTCAAACCAAACTTGACATGTTTGCTAATGTAAAACGGAAGTTTTGGGCCTGGCTTGAGGTAGTTGACTACCATTAACATTACTGTTTACCATAACAACAACTATCATTATCATCTCTACGACCATCACCACCTCCACCACCACCACCAACACCACCAACACCACCAACACCACCA